TATATATATATATATATATATGTTTGAAGCCAACTGTACAATGTCCAAAATATTTGCAGCATTATTTGATCAAATAATACGTGTATATATATATATATATATATAGGGCAGTGACATATTGTATATGCTTAAAAAAATAAAAATCGTTATTTCTATACATAATTACTATATTGAATAAAAAAAATGATTACAATAAATTGATTAATTATCTATTTTCGGTGATTCAATGGAGCTAAATGAAATGTGGACTAAATTTAATTAACTTATATTAATATACTTTCATAAAAAATGATCCAACAAATCATTAAATTTAAATTACTTTTACGTAATATAAAGTACAATAGGTCAAAATTGGGTGATGCCTACATTTTTGCCTACAAAAACACTTATATTCATTGTAAATTATAGAACGTTATATATATGTGAAATAATATATATATAGAAAGCATATCTACACGGTTTATTAATATTGTTCTATATAACATTTAATTGTGTTAGCATATATAATTAACAAATAAATCTTATCATAGAAAAATTATTTGAAAATCGTTTTCCTTGTTATTTGTATTGCTAATTCGAATATGTTTTATTAATAAGATATTTGATAATAAAAAGCAATAGAACTGACATAATAAGTGCGCCATTAAATTTTGTAAAGATGATTTATTATATATCATTGCTTGAAGAAAAAAAAAAAAGAAATATTAAAATTTTTAAAAAACAATACATAATATTGTGTTAACATAATGTACAAATATATTTTGATTTGCATAACTTTGCATATTTTACGTTTTATACTTTTATATTCATTTATTAATTTTTAAAAACCATTGAGATTGAATAATATGATGTATATAATGTAAATGTACAATGATTGCAATACTTGTCCCATCGATATCTTAAATGGCCAATTTATTGATACTTTTCTTTATTTTTTTTTTTTAGAAGATGCATTTATTTTTCATAAACTTTTCTATTTTTGTTACTATAGAGTATTATGAAATAAGCATCTAAGTATATTTCTGTTTCCATTGACTCTCAATAGTTTTTATATAATATTCTAGAGAAATAATTTATTATAAAATAAATGTATATAAACATCTACCTATCTATCTACCTATCTATCTATCTAATTATATACCTATTTATCTATCTATCTATCTATCTATATATTTATATATGAAATTATTAAAGATAGTGTAGTAATTTTTGTCGAAGTAGATAATATAGAATAAAATATTAATGAAAGTATTTAAATACTATTATGTCCACAAAACATACTACTACATGATATACTTTTTTTCTTCGAAAAATTATTCGATTATATGATCATGTTGATCCAAAGTCTATTTTGTACAATTTCAATGTACCTAATAAAAAATTTAATATATATATATTATATATATATAAATAAAAAATTATTTTTCTTGTTAAATAATAATTGCATTCAAAATATTGAAATATAAAGCATGTAGGATACTTAAAAATAATCAGCAAATTTACCGATATTATCAATTTTATCCTGTAAAGATAATATTTGGCTACTCTATTAAAAATTTGCTTTTAAGTAGATTATATGATGATGTTAAATTATTCTACTTAATTCATAATTTTTATTTAACGGTTTTATACCTTAATAACGATTTAGTGAGGAAATAATATGGATAAAACTCAAGTTACTCAATGATGTTGAAGAAAACAAAGAAAGGAATAATAATAATAATAAAAAAAATAAAAGGAAAGAATATCATGATTGTACATGTCAACACGGAGGAGGACTAGATGTTGGTACAGCATCAATAGTCGCTGTAGAAGAAGATGCCACTGTCGAGGTTTTATTTTCAGTAGGTAATCTCCGCCTAGCAAACATGAACTGTTCCATTAGTTCGTGATGTGCTTCCAATCGTTCAATACAATGTAGACATGCAGTTTTTGGTAGCGGATCATTCATATTTACCTGTATATACAAAACATATGCATTAACAACAATCATGTATGTACATTACAAAATGTGTATTATAAATATATATATAATATTAGACACACTCCTGACTATGATGTAGATTTCTCTATATATACGATATAGGAAATAAATAATTATACAAAAAGTACTTTGTTGAAAATCTATATATACAATAATATAAATACATTGTGATATTAAATGATTATTACTCGTCCTGTCATTTTAGTGTAGAACAAAATGTATCTATAATGCATATAGATCACATTAACTTTTGTGACAAATAAATTTATCAGAAAGTAAGTAAAGAATATGTATATTCTTACCGTAATTGGGAGATAAGCATTGATCTTATCCGCGAGTTTCATTCTTTCACCCTCTTCTCCGTAAATGTGGATCACAAAACGGTTCATTTTACTGCAAAGTCTGCAAATGAAACCTGTAATTACAGCTTTATCCGTACTGCCCATTTTGCTATTTTATTTGTAATTTTCTCTTTGGTATTTAAATTTATTAATAGTCAATTAGGTTTAGTGCTTAACAATGAATATTGTGCAAATTAAAAACACTATTATTTCAAGATGTTCTTCCTTTCAGATTCTTAAGTTTGTTTATCAAAAACTTCACACTATTGGCGCTACTAGTACTACTTATTTCCATTGCTTTCTTCAGGGCAGTATCTAGTTTATTTCTCATATTTTGTTTAAAAACATTGGAAAATTTGTATTATCATTCTTTAATTAAAAGAACATCATTTTATTGAACTAAACTATTTCATTAATTAGAAGTAAAATGTTTTAATTATTTATCAATAGTTTTCTATAATTAATATCATTGGTAATGTTTCTTCTATTTGAAGTATTCAAAATTATATCCGATATTAAGCTTATATAAAAAAATTTGTTTTCTTATTACAACACAATAGATAATTAAATACTTTGATTATTACTATTCTATTTCATATAATACGAATAATTTGGTAGATTTAAAAAACGTTTTTATACAATCCTGAGATCGAACGATCGAAAGTTAAATCGGAAGTTAAATATAACAGAAAAATAGTTACTAAATTGTTAACTATCAACTGACAATCAATTTTAATTATATATAAATCTTTTGCATTATATGTATCTTATCATTACTTAAAAAGTAGGAAAAGTTATTCATTAAAGGTTAATAGATTTTACTTTTCTATATTTTATATTGATATATATATATGCACTATCAACAATTATAGAATACTAATTGTAAAGGAAGATCAGTAATTATGTTTAATAAAAATTTCTAATAGAAGGAGCATCATTATATCGTTGCCTAGAGTTGACGAAAGCTAATTTATGAAAAGCATTTATTCATTTTCAATTGGAAATATTTATCTAAATTGTAAAAATAATATATCGTGGTAAAGTATAAATGTAATAATTACATTAATTATATAGTTCATATATAGTAGATATATTTATAAAATATTATATTTATTTACATATATCATGCAAATAATTTTATTATTTTACAATTTGTTTGACTAATATTTTCACTTTTTCAGTTAATATTCGTATAGTAAATAGAATTTTGAAATCCACGTTGCATTCATATAACATGGCGGCGATCAGCTGTGTTCTGTTATAATAGTATTCACATCGATAGAAAGTTCGGCTATCTAATCGAAATTGTTGTTGCTACTAATAAGAATTATTTTATATATGTGAATGTTATGTTTAATTTCTTCAAATCAATTCCATTTAATCTGTAATTAAACGAAATATAAAGAAAAGCATTGAAAAAACAAAGGTTTTCGCTTGAAGTAAGTTACAAGTGAATGCAGTTACGAGAAGAAAAGCAATATGGAGGCTAACGAATTAATCAACTGTTCAGAATAGTCAAAGAGATAGAAATGTTTAATAATATTGACACTTTTGGTAGTGTATGTTAGTGAAATCGAGTGATGAACTTAACGTGATTTTGAAAGCCTTTTCGTGGCTACAGTAAAATAATCATGTGTGATGTGTGCGTTGACTTTCATGATCTTCTGCTCTCTTGTAAGTATAATATACACAAGACTATTTTATCTTAACCTTTTCTATTGCTCTATATACATTTTCTGTATTAACACTGTTATAGGATTGTGATACAGAAAAATACTATGTGCATATATATGTATATAAATTATCGGCGAATATATATATATATATATATATATATATATATATATATATATCCGATATTGTGTTATTTTATATAAAATCGTAGATAAATTTGAATTTGTTTAATTTATTTTGATTATATATTTTAATTTGATATAAGTTTTAAATATATATTAAGAGAAATAATGTGTTTTGTATGCAGATGATGATCGAACGTCGAAAGAGCAAGATGTATTAACTACTTTATGTGTAACTGATGTGGATACTACTTTACATTATGTTAATCAATGGGTACAAAGGTATATGATTCATTTACAAAATTATGCATCTTTCATACTATATTCATACTGTATTTGTATCTTGTATTTAATAAAAAAATAATAATTTGTATAATTTGTAGACAATGTATGTGTTGTTATCGAGAAATTAAAAATTTTGATCGATTCATACGACTAACTCAAAGTATCGTTTTCTGCACATTACAACAATTACAAACTATACATCAAGATGGACAGCAGGATAATACAAAAGAGTCAGCCAAAGAAGAAAAAGAGGAGAAAGAGAGCACAAATAAAGGAAATACAAGCGATAAAAATCAAATATCCAGTTGGTCTCAACAAGACAGAGAAAAATTATTTCATCTTCTCTCAAAAATATTTTTACTCAATTTTCCTCTTTATATTGCAATGAAACATGGAGGTGCTATAAATCCATTAGCTCCAGTTAAGGTAATATATATCATTGTAATATATTATTTAAAGTTATTCTTATTTATTTATTTATTTATTTATTTGAAATGTTTACAAAGGATGAAGGAGGTTATTGCGAGCCTCATGACCCTGAAGTACCAGCACCTTTGATTCGTGCAGTGTCTATATTTTGCCATCAGGGTGGTTTTAATTTAATGTCTGGCTGTTTTGATATGGATAATACACTGCCTGTTAGCCTAGCACATTCTATGGTTGCAGTTATTTGTAATTTAAAACTTTGGTTAAACTACGGTAGTGTTATTCAATTATTTATACCTCTACGCAGTCGAGTTATGAAGTACATGTGCCGATTAGGAGATAAAGAATTACGCACGCCAGCAGTCAGGACTATGGCGGGTAAGCAGTCACAATATACAGACAAAATATAATAAAAATGATAACATTTTTAGCTGTAGAAATTAATGATTGAATGTATTTTGATGTTTTAAGATTTCATGTGGAGTGCAGTTAAAGATCCGATAGATGCGGTATTACCAAGCTTCGATAAAGATGGATTAGATTTGGCCTTTAAATATTTTACCAGCACAACTTTAACTATGAGATTGGCAGGAGTAGCTCAAATTAATGCCCATATTACTGCATTTAATGAACTTTGCAATAGCGAGACAGTCGCTGAAGTTGAACAAGTAGGCCATGCCTTAGCTGCATGGTTGACTGAAAATAATATTATAGCTCATATATTTGGACCAAATTTACATGTAGAAGTTATTAAACAAAGTCATATTGTATTAAGTTTCTTAGCTATGGAAGGTAGAATTACATCTTCAGATATGGATACGATTTGGCAAGCTGCACAATTAAAACATTGTGGTCGTCCAGTATATGATTTATTGGCACCATTAGTCAAACATTTAGCACCTACGCCTGTTCTTCATTTATACTCTTTACTGGGAAAATTAGAGCCTAAAGATCACACAGAGCAAAGTTTGTTTTTAGCATCGGCATTGACCAAATTTATTTGGACATCTGGTGGTTCGAATTATTCAAGAAGTTTAACTATGAAAAGCAGAGAACTTTTAAGAGGTGTTTCAAGTGGTGTTGGAGGAAGTAGTAGTAGTGACCCAAGTGGTATGGATGGTACTAGTCCTGACGATGATGAAGAAGTACCTAGTCCTGCTTTATCCGATGGTCCGTCTCCGAGAAAACAAGCAAGAGGAGATAGTAGTGATGGAGAAGGTATATTAATAAATATTTTCATGATGTCTTTCGATAATACAAAAATATAAATTAAAGGAATATTATAATTCATATAATATCATTGTTATTAGGTCCATTTAAAGGTAAAAGTTTGGAAAGCATTCCTGTTGAATCTAATTTAAATGAAGTGGAAGATCCTATTTCGGAAAAATCCGAATGTAATACAGAATTAACAAAAGACAACACACCTAGTGTATTGCATGATGATACAAAGGATAAACAAAGCTGTTCTGACGTGGAAGCAGATACAGAAAAGTCTAATACAGAAGAACCAATAATCCATGAAAAGAAGAAAAGAAAAGTATTGCGAAAAAGAAAGAAACCTCAAAAACGATCTATAACAACGGTTGAAAAAACATTAGAAGATATTGTTGGTCAAGAAGGTAGCATAAAGTCTAAAGAATCATTGACTAATAAAAGTAGAACAGAAGATGTATTGGATGGTAGTATTGAATCTGGTACGCTTACTTCATTGGATGAATCAAAAGTCGTTGATACCCTTGACCGAGTGAAGCAACAAGCTATGGCTTTAGATCCAACTGATCAACAAGTGCCAACAACAGCATCATTGTTGAGAAGAGCAAGCAAAAATAAATATATGTTATTAGTAGGGCACAATGTAGACAGAGCACCCGATTCTGCAGATACATCTCATGATGAAGATGATAGCAATGTAGCAGGAGTATTAGCTGCCGCAGATGGTCCAGGAGCTGTTATATCTGAACTTGCTGGATTAGTTCATGCAAGTGGACCTAGTTTTTTACCTTCTGGATTAGATGAAATGCTTTCCGATGAAGAAGGTTCTTATAGTAGCAGGATATCTAATAAAAGCGAAAAGAATATGGCTGACTTTGATGGAGAGGAAAGTGGTTGTGAAGAAGAATTAGCACAATTGGCAGTACGTCATTTGACAGCCATTCAAATGCAAACTTACCATCCGCATCATTCCCATCCAAGTATGACTATCAGAAGGTCCGTATGTCGTCCTACACAAGTACGAACAGTCCGCCAAGCAGTATCAAGATTGAATTCCCAATTTAATTTAGAGACAGTATGTAAACCAGGAAATACATTGTTGTGGGATCTTTTGCAAGATGATAAAATTGGCCAACTCGGAGAAGGATTAGCATTAGAGGCAGAGAAAGCATTATGTAATTTACTATGTTTTAATGTTGACCGTTTAATACCAATGAAATTTATTGAAGGTTGCTTAGAAAATTTAGCAACTAATCATTCTGTAGTTGTATCCTTGAGATTATTACCAAAGTTACTTGCAAGTTTTCAACAATTTGGTGCAATGGATGCGCATACCATAACAACATGGGCTGATCACGAACGTGGTATGATGAAGCATTTTTTTAATAATTTGAAAACATATACTAATAACGGACCAAAAAGTAGTTTATACTCGCATCAAACAGAAATTCAAGTTAGATTACAATTTTTGTCATCAATATTTTCTCCTTTGGGCTCACCAGACTGTTTCCGTTTAAGTCTTGAACAAGTTGATATATTATGGC